TTTCCCTATCAGCTTTTCAAACCAGACACAATTTCCTAGTTGGAGCAAGGGGATGAGTATAAAAGAACTTCCTAACACACAGATCCATGTGAGAAACAGACACATAGAAGTCATATATAGAAGGTTGATTGAAAAATCCCTGTAGGGCATGCCACATTTTTCTTCATTTCTCACCTCCTAGTTAACTTTCTACATCACAACTTTTCCAGGTACTCTCCACTGATTGACTCAGCAGCCACCCAGGCTTCTGCTTCTGAGCTAACCTCCATTCTTTCTCACTCAAAATCACAGGAATCCATGGGGCCACATTAGCCCCTGAGACATTTAGGAAATTCTGGAATAACAGTGCCCCCAGTCTTTCTCCTAGTTCACAATTGTAGTTTGCCCATGTCTTCCCGACATAGACTGCTAGCAAGTTGCATGCCTCCAGAAATTCCGAGAAATGTAGACACTAATCTCCGTTTCAGTGAACGTGTGTTTAGCACTAAAGAGGGTGGAAAGGACCCTTTATTTCTTTGCTAAGGATTTCAAAGTAGTTCTGCATAGATGATCTTATTTTGGAATACAGAGTTTAGATTTGGCATCTGAAGTCTTACATGTTTAGTAAAACTAAGATTAAATTGTTTTATTTTAATGCCCTGTTATACTATTGGGTTGTGGTAATTTTCTTCTTACTGCTTCATCCCACCCCACCCTTTTTGCTTTCTCAACCCAGTTTATGATGGCTGAAAACAAGCCCACATCTATTTTGTATACATTCTTGTCAGCTTTCTTGTACTCTTCCAGTGCTAACGTTTTTTGTCTAGGATGTCTTATTTTTCTTTTTTCCAGACTCAGCAACTGCATTTGAAAGAAGAGAATCGACATCAAAGCAGAGCATTTTTGATGACGAACCACCTTGTGGAGTGAAGACAGAAAGGTTGACAAGAGATGATCCTTGGTTATCTTCATGTGAAGAAGTTTGGGTTTGTAAGGACCGGTTGGAGAGGCAACAGGAAAAACAAGAGAGACTTTTGAAGAAAGTAGCATTCACTCAAAAGAACGCTGTTACTCATGAAAGAGTCTGCAAAAGTGATGAAGTTGAGGAGAAGAATGGTCTGAATTCCAGTCTCCTTTCACCTCAGATGATACCCATAAGAAATCATTTTCATAAATGTGCCTCACATGTAAAAAAATTACATCGTAATTCTGTTGTGAACAGTCATGAGATGATTAATGACAGTGAGAAACTATATGAAAATAATGACTGTAGAAACCCCCCCCAGAGTGTTCACTTTATTCAGTTTACAAGAACTCAAACAGAAGACAAATCTTATGGATTTAGCAACAATATTCAATCTTTTAGCCATAGGACACCCCTAAATATGCATGAGAAAATACATGCAAGAGGAAAACCCTTTGATTTTAAGGAATGTGGGCAAGCTTTGAACCATAGCGTATCCCATAGTGAACAACAGGGAATCCCTGTTGAAAAGAGTCAATATAAGTACAGTAAAACCTCCCAGAGTTCATCCCTTGTGCAAAACATGAGAAATTCTGAAGAGAAACCCTTTGAATGTAACCAGTGCGGGAAATCCTTCAGCTGGAGCTCTCATCTTGTTGCGCATCAGAGAACTCATACAGGAGAGAAACCTTATGAATGTAACGAATGTGGGAAATCCTTCAGCCGGAGCTCTCACCTTGTTTCTCATCAGAGGACTCATACTGGAGAGAAACCTTATAGATGTAATCAGTGTGGGAAATCCTTTAGCCAGAGCTATGTCCTCGTTGTGCATCAGAGAACTCATACTGGAGAGAAGCCTTATGAGTGCAATCAGTGTGGAAAGTCATTCAGGCAGAGCTACAAACTTATTGCACATCAAAGAACTCATACTGGAGAGAAGCCCTATGAATGTAATCAGTGTGGGAAATCGTTTATCCAGAGCTATAAACTTATTGCACATCAAAGAATTCATACTGGAGAAAAACCCTATGAATGTAATCAGTGTGGAAAGTCCTTTAGTCAGAGTTATAAGCTCGTTGCCCATCAGAGAACTCACACAGGAGAGAAACCCTTTGAATGTAATCAGTGTGGAAAGTCCTTCAGCTGGAGCTCTCAGCTTGTCGCGCATCAAAGAACTCACACAGGAGAGAAACCCTATGAATGTAACGAGTGTGGGAAATCTTTCAACCGCAGTTCTCACCTTGTTATGCATCAGAGAACTCACACAGGAGAAAAACCCTATGAATGTAATCAATGTGGGAAGTCCTTCAGCCAGAGTTACGTTCTTGTTGTTCATCAGAGAACTCATACTGGAGAAAAGCCCTATGAATGCAATCAGTGCGGGAAATCTTTCAGGCAGAGTTCATGCCTTACTCAACATCAGAGAACTCATACTGGAGAGAAACCGTATGAATGCAGTCAATGTGGAAAAACATTCAGCTTGAGTGCTCGACTTATTGTACATCAAAGAACACATACTGGGGAGAAACCCTTTACATGTCATCAGTGTGGGAAGGCTTTCATTAATAGCTCTAAACTTATTAGGCATCAGGCAACTCATACTGAAGAGAAACCCTATGAATGTAACTAATTTGGAAGATTTTCAGCCAGAACGTATTCCTTCCTCCCCTCTCCTTCTCTTTCTTTTAGAAGCGAGCACTTGTATTGGAAAGAACTAGTATAAAAATTGGGAAAGTTTTCAGTTAACCCTCTGTTGTTGTGTATCTGGAAATTTGTTCTGGAGAAAAAAGAGGGGGACTATGGATTACATATTTTACTTAGCAATTTCACATACAGAATCAAACTTAGCTCTTATGACACATTGCCAACAACAACAACAAAATAATAAATATTGGCACTTTTCCTTGCAGAAAGCACTCAGACCTGATTCTGAGAGAATTACCATAAAACGGACAACATGCTCTGGAGTGATGGCCAGTGAGGTAGATCTCTTTTCCAATAAAGAGTAAATGAGAATGCAAACACTAGTAGGTTTGTTTTTGAGGTTGACCAATTGCTGTAGTTATTAGGAATTAAGCTTAAAAACAGTATTTTAGTGTATCATCTTACAATATGATTTCCCCTCTAGCTACTTTATATCCTCTCTCATACAGCACTTTCTCTTACATGTGAAGATTTTGTAAAAATTAGGAAAATGGCTATGATATTAAGGAAAAATGCAGAAGAATATAGAACATTTATTTCTAGAACCATTGTGATAAGGTAGTTGTGTACAGATCAGAATTGAAAGGAATTCTAGGTGTATCTATTTGATTTTTAGATTTATGCCTGGTTTCCTTCTTTTGAAATGTATAATGTTTTGACATAATAAATGATATGAGTAAAAATTAGTTAAAAACAAAAAGAAAAACACAAAGGTTTTCTTCTCCTTTGACTCTTTAAGAAAGACTGGACAGTCAGATAGCCAGGATTCCTCAGGGTTCTGAGATTTCTGTTTGGGTTAGTATGATTAGGTTACTCTATAGAACTTAGATCCCCAGGAATATTCTTCATTGAAAATAAAATATTTCCGGGGGAATGTGGAACTGGAAATCTAAGCCAAAAGGGTTTCGATATGAGGAACTAAGAATGCATGGGCAGTGTAAGAGCCAAATTGGCTTTTTTCTTCTTTTTTTCATATATTCAAAGCAGTGTAAAGGAGCTCTGTTTTTAAGGTGTTTTTTTTCCCTCCATTCCTGTAGATTGTCTTTTTTCTCTGGGAAATCTTCCCTAATGTAAGAGTTTTCTGAGTGGGAAGGCACTGCCCTGGCTAAAAATGCTCATTACCTAAATTAAACTTGCAAGAAAGTCTTTGGTGAGGTAAGACTTGTAGCTTCTCATTAATTCTTTTTTTTTTTTTTTTTTTTTTTTTTTTAAGATTTGGTTCACATGTCTTTCTGGCTTTGCCCCTGAATCATGAATTCTAATTCTGTGGGTTATGAACCCAAAACCTCTGATTCCAGAGAGTTAATAAATAATAGTTTGAGAGTTTAACTGAGAGACCAGATAATAGAGGTAGATTCCCAGGAGAAAGAAAAAGCTAAAATGATATCTTATAGGGGATGGTCACCCTTGTAAAATCCTGTCCCCATGAGATGACCCTAAGTGGATCCATCTCTATGGAGATTAAGCCAGAGAGTACAGCACACCTGAAATGACAACTTCTGGGGGGACAAGTTTTGATGGCTGCAAAACTGGCTCCCCACCTCAAGAGACTCTTCACTCAGTCCGTGAGCGCACAGATGGAGGACTAGCAAGGGTTCTCCATGCATTGCCTTTTTGAGAACAACATAAATTGTGGGAACTAATTTAGCAATGGGACCTATTAGGCTCTTTTCTTCACGGTTATAGGTGAAATCGATGCCACTGCTAGGTACAAGCACATGATTTTCACTGGGCATGTCGAATCTTACTTTGAAGGCAAGAAGCCATGAATTCACAAATAAGTATAAAGACAGATGGGCTAAGAAGGAGGGCTCAGAAGATTTCAAGTTTGGGAAGTGGTATATTGCAAAGTAATCCTTTTGGTAAATGTTAAATATTTCATTGAAAATGTGAAACTGACAAAACTACAAAAATTTTTGAAGTGTGTGCATGCGTGTGCGTGTGCGCGTGTGTGCGTGTGTTCCTGACCAGATTGAATATGTGAGGCATCAGTGTGCACCAAGTCGTAAGTATTATATGTTTGCCAAGTGTTTTGAATAAGACAGATTCAATAAATAAACAAAAATGTTAATTTCTATCATTTGCTCAATAACTTCCTATTGTGGGAAAGATACTCTCTTTTAACCAAACGATGGTCAACCAAAAATGAGAAGTTAGAGTGACAACATGCTAAAAATATGTAATTAAACTTCTGAAACTAGATTCACTGTCATAGCAACTTTCAATATACCACACAGCAGTGTTAACTATAGCCGTCATGTGTTTTCCCACTCTCCTGCTCAGTCTTTACCCCTTTTGCACCCTTTCCACGTATTTCGTGGTTTTATGTTTCAGCTTATTCCCAGGCTTGACAAAGCAAAATAGGCTTTTATCGAAGTTTTTGAGAGATTTCAGTAAAGAAGAGGGGAGACCCAGCCTTTTAAAGGTAATACTTTTTTCATATACGCCTTTTGCATTCGGTAATTTCTTCTGGATTTTGTACTTAATGTCATCTATTCTGTGTGTCTTACTTAATATACTTGACAAGACCAGTTAATCTTAGGTAAGCCTTTAGAACTTTATCTTGAAAACTCAGTATTTTTCCAATTCGTTGATAGAGGCTGCACATGGACTCAGTTTCCCTTTAGAAGACTTGATGGATCATGTCAGTAAGTGTTCTCTTGCTCTTTATAAACTGTAGCAGCCTGGGTTCTGAGTGGGAAAGCACATGAGCCAGCTCTAGCAAATTGATTCAGGAAAAGGGGTTTGTCGAAAGGCTATTAGGCAGCTCCAGGAATTGGCAAGGAAGACCATGTTCACGGCTTTATAGACAGATGCAACTGCCCGAACTACACTGCAGCTTTTGAGAGTTTAGTTATGTTCTCACAGTTCCTCACAATATATTAAGCTCCTTAATATCTCTGCATTGATTTCTTCTGATTCCAAGCCTGGGACGATCCTAGTCTGGTAAATCCTAGGCTTTGCCTGCAACTTGCTATGTGGGAGGTTGGGAAGCTGTGGCCACTGTTGCCTGATATTTTGTGGAGAGTCCATCCTGGTAGGTAGGGTGGGCTCTACCTTCCACTCATACTAATTCTGTGGGCCGTTTGTGACTCATAGAATTGCTACTCATTTTGCAAAGGAGAAAAAAGTTTCCAGTATAGCCCACCCCTTTTGCCTAGTCCCTATGTCAACATTTTCTTCACTTTCTACGCTTTCACTTGTTTAAATATGTACATGTAGCCTCCTTAACATAGCTGTCTTTTGCAGATGAAAACATGGGTACTCTCATCCCCCACAAAGGTATAACCCAGAGTTGTATCTTGTATCCATTTCCAAGTCTAGGATCACTGTGTGTTAGCCAATCCTTTTCTTGTGAAAAAATCCTAATATGAAAAGATGTTTTAGATACTAGGCATTAAAAAAAAAAAAAAAAGATATCGTAAAACCAGGTCAAATTACCAAGCTAATGTTCAGTAACTTTGGTTGTTGCCAGTAGATACTCAAAAGCTTTCTAAAACCACTTTTGTGAGACCACCAAGTTGGTGACATAATTTTTACTGCCGAGGATAATTTAATTCTTATTTAGATTCATCTGGGGGTCTAACTAAAATGAAGACTTTTATAGACTTTGCAGTGAAAACAGTATTGTTACATTTAAAAATGTCACTTTTGGCATTAGCCAAGTAGATCTTCATCTAGAACAGTAATGTTGGATTTTCTGTCCTGTGGACAATGTGCTATTGATTTGTGTTCCACTGAGGCTAGCATTCAGTGGACATAGGCTGACAAATTGGATTGATAAAACTTTTCGTAGTATTTACCTCACCTGTCTGGGCTCTCTAACATCTGTGTTCTATTGAATGATGATTCTGAGGTCATGACAATCTTCATGATCATTTCCTCTCTTCTTCAGGGAGGATTCCTGGAATTTAGCTGTTGGGTCAAGTCCATGAAGCTTGGCTATTCCTCTTGGATGTTGTACCTCTTTGTTGCCCAGGTTCTACTAGTTCATTCTCTGGCAGTGTTTGTTTGGGCCTGGATTGTTGATATCTCTGCCTTTCCTTGACTGCACCACAGATCCAAGAGGGTAATTCTTATGACCATAAACTCCTCCTCTTGTTCTGTATTTGATTTATCCACATTTTTTCTCCACCATTACTTGCTTTGTGAAATGACAAGGACTGTACAACCCCTGCAGGACATTTTGTGGCAGGCTGGAACTTGCTATGGGTGATTTTTCTGTACTTTTGAAAAACTTCAAGGACATGCCATTAACCTGGGTTGATAATTCACTTTTTAAAAATAATTATATATAGAATGTCATCAAAAGTAGAATGTACTGAATTTTTGGAGTGGTGATTAGATTATAAAAGAACCAAAGCTATAGAAAAACCAGAGGAGATTTTTTTTTTCTAATGAAATCTCAAAGCCACTTATCTGTATTCTCTGATATTACGATGTACTGATTGTATGAGGATTCCATCATTGGTACTGCTGTACTCTCGGCTTTAGTATTTCTTTCTGTTGCCCTGGGGTAGAGAGAGTTGAAATGTCTTTTTGTAATCTGGTGCTTTAATTAGACACTGCTGATAGCATTGATCATCTAGATCTGTATACAGTACAGCCAATTTCAAAATGTGTCCCCAAGAAGTTGGACTCCCTTCTCTGGGTATTGTAGCCTGTGCCTGCACATGAGTGTCTGATTATGGCTCCTATGTCCAAATGAGAAGATGGGATGACTACTGTGTTTGGGGCATGTTCTGTTCTTGCTGGATAAAGTCCAATTGCGTTTCTTTTAGAAAAGGAAAACTAAAGTTTCTGGCTTTGAAAGAAACTGTAAAATTGTGGGGTTTTGTGTTTATGTAATATTCAAATTGGTCAGAAAACACTGAGAAAATTTTTTTAAGTAAAAGACGGAGACTGAGTTAAATTGAAAATGGCAGTAATTGTTCCCTTAAAGGCTGAGCAGCCTCTTGGGTTGCATATGATGGGGATCCATCATTTATGCAGCAGCAATGTAGAACCAAGTGCTCTTTGGTGAGTAGCTTATCTTAAGGCAGAAAAATAGAAATGGGCTCATAATATCTTACAGGTAATAGATAAAAACACTTTCAGAGATAGTTGGGTGCTGTTACATAGATCTCAGGGGCCACTGACCCAGTGGAATTCCTACCAACTGGCAGGAACACTTAGAGCATTGAGAAACCATCAGTCATGGAAAGCAGGACCAAGGTGGGTCTAAACAGAGCCATGGGTTCTTTGTGAGATGCAGTATCGAGAGTGCTAAAGAAAAGCACTGTCTTAGTCTGTTCAGGCTGCTATAACAAAAATACCATAGACTAGGTGGCTTAAACAAGCAACATCAAGGACCAGCAGATTGGATGTCTGATGAGGACCCACTTCCTGGTTATTACATGGCCATCTTGCTGTGCCCTTACATGGCATGAGTCAAGAGAGATCTCTGGGGGCTTGTTTAAAAGGGCACAAATTCCATTCGCAAAGACTCCACCCTCATGACCTAATCAGCTCCCAAAGGTCCCCACCTCCCAACACCATCACATTGGTGGTTAGAACTTCAACATGAATTTCGAAATCCCTGTACAAACATTTAGTTCATAAGAGGCATAAACTCAACTTCTAATAGTCTTCACAAAAGGCGCTTACATTGAGTAGTCTAAATTGTCCTGCAAGCAGGTTTATAACATGATTAAAACAGGTTTATATGTAGATTTGTACAGGAAATGGAACCTTCACTGGACTTAAGATCCGAAAACTACAAGTTTCATCTCACAGTGAAAGGGACATCTAAAATTCCAGCTCAGGCTCCCCACTGACCCTCAGAGAGGTTTACTTCCATCACTTGCCTTTCTGGTGGCTAGGCCATGGGCTGTGTGAGGACAGATAAAGATGCCATTAATAAATGGACCCAACCCAGGTGTATTTGGTTATGTTTATCACTGAAGGGAGCAGATTTCTTTTTAAAGTGATCAGGATTATTGACAACTCACCTCCAGTGAGTGCCCTTATTTGTTCTGTTGAAGCTTCAGAAGAAAATGAATAAAAATGTTAAGTGAATATGGTCCATCTTTCACATGGGGATGGGGATGGGGCCGGCAAAGTATAAATTAACTATCCAGGAAACAAACCATTAAGGAGAGAAATAAGGAACACTGACTGAAACAGCATTATATATGTGGCTGAGGGAGGCTTAGAAACCAAATATCTAAATAGAATTCCAGTTAATATTTCTTTTTCCAGTTGGATTTCCCTAGTTGTTCTGCTTCTAAAAGTTGCTCTCATTCAAGATTGCTTCTAGCACATCACTCAGCAATTGTGCTAGAACCTGATTGAAATACTTCCTTTTGTGGAAAACAGTACTCTATCTGCCACACATCTGGAACAAATTAGAATGTAACTGGTTTCGTGCCACCCCACCCTGGTGTGGAGCAGATGGGAGGATCACCATGAGACCATCCTATTTGTAGCATCTCTTTCCAGTACAGCTGGCCCTCAGTAGGTGCAATCTTAACTCAAGGTTAAATTGAAACCCTTGAATCTAGGTTATGATAGCATTCGAAAAGACATCTAACTTTACCCAAAAGATTTTAGATAGTGTTATTGAGGAGGGAAAAGACTGGACAATTTTATAGAGAATTATATGTGATCATCTAAATAAATCAATAGTGCTGTTTTCAGTGCCTCTTAGGGTCATTGTAATCATGATGCTGAAACTCTTATTAATGAAAGTAACTTAATAACGAAGGGATCTTGATGTATCTAAGAGGTATATTGTATTAGGATTGGAACTCATACGAGCCAGAAATATTTTGAGGCCCATTGGGCAAGGGTAAACTGAGATACTTATCAATTCAAATGTTCATCTGAATCAAACTAGTCGAACCATATTCTGAGCTAAATCAAACCGTGACACATGGTGAGTGGCACAAGAATTGGAAATCAGAGAAACAAGAGCAAATAGAGTCTCAGTTTAGTGACAGTGATGACTTATGAGAGGGAGCCTCCACACCAATGTGGTAAGACCTATTTTTTGAAATCGCTTTGCTGGATGTCACCAACTTATTCTGACAAGGTTCT